AGAACAAACAGGAATCCACTTCAAATGGTACAGAATGCTATAGAGTGCTACGCATATCAAATTTGTTCAAAATTTGTTACCTTCTTTTGCTCTTACCTTCTATTTTCATTCTTTGATTCTCCCATTTTGTTACCCACTCCCGTGCTTACAGAGTAATTTACCTTCAGAATAGATAACAATTATGTTAGAATGTATCATTTTTCAGCATATATATGAAAAAAATATTGAAACGTATGATATAGATGATACTTGTCTTATTTGTTTATAATCTGGTCGTGTCTTCTTCGTTGGTTTATACCTGTAAAGCATATGATAACACTGTTAGAACTACTGTTACAACTGCAAAATACCGAGAAATTTATGAAATGTGTTAAATTTGATAAACACTTATCTGTCTGTCTTCCCCGAGAAATTTTGGCCGCATTCTTGATACCTGAAGAAACCAACAGAAATTGTTAGTCCTGAAAACATAATATATATACATCTTGTGAGTTCATCTTGCTTCTAATGAGCATGTTTAAGACAGTACATAGTATCAATTTGTACGACATAAAAACATTTTTTGTAAAAGATAACATTAAAATTCAACTTACCACTGTTATGTCGGTTCCGTAGATCTTCCCCGAGAACAATATTTAAGGAAAAAATCATAAAAATACATCAGAGAGATATATATTATGAAGTTAATATCGAAAAATAGGTGTAAAAATTTAATATATATATATACATAAACATTATATTACCTTCCGACTATGTATTAATAGAACAAAATAGGCCTTATTCGACATTTTTATCTCACAGTATGCGTGTTACACGCATGTCGGAAGCAAACCCCAACCGGGGATCTCAGAATATAGTTTAAAAAATAAATAAACACAAAAACAGTAGATATCTTTACAGATCTATGATCGCATCGACATTTTAATCGAAGGAAAATTTTTAAAAAATTTGAAGATATCTATATCTCAACACATATATACGTAATAAACCAAAAACAGTACAAATACGTATAGATCTATAATAACGCATTTAATAGAAAAATGTTTAAAAACAACAAAAAAATTCAAAAAAAATAAAGATCTGCTTGGATATATAATGTAATCGCCCGACGATTACAGATCTATGGTCGCATCAACATTTTAATCGAAGAAAATTTTTTAAAAAAAATTAAAAATTTGTAGATCTGAACAAATATATACGGAACAAATGAAAAACATTACAAATCGGTATAGATGTATTATGTAATAACTCATTGAATAGAAAAATGTTTAAA